CTGCAAATTGCAATTAGTGTTGACTTATGTTGAAGTCATCGTGCACCAGTTTCAGTTCATCCCCTGACAACAGCTCGCCCCCACCGCAGCCTGACAAAAGTTACTGCCCCTGCCCCTAGTTCCTGCCCCTGCCACACCGATTCTCCTTTAGTGCCTCCAGTTGATCTCTTGTTGTAATTGCTGCACTCGTTGCTTGTGTCGTTGTCGTTGTTGTTGTTGTTGTTGTTTTTGTTGGTATTTCTCGACGCCATCGCCATGCAATGTGTGGCACATAAAAAGGCATTTGCGGGTGCAGCCGACTGCTGTTAACCAACTGCCAGGCAGTTGGTCAAAACCAAATGTGCACAAATGGCGAGACTTACCAATTTTAGTATTGTGGCACAGACTATAGGCGACGCCACCACCCCTCCACCCTCCCCACCCATCAACCCCCATCGTACAACACTAGACCTTCATTAAAGGCCGAGAACAACTTTTAATTTCCAACGTTCATAGATCTTGCTTTGTGCTAAAAAGCAACAACAACAACAACTTTCATTAAGTTGATTTAAACGACTTAAAACATTACAATTGCAACTGCTCAATACTCCTCTAGCCGTATAAATAGGCGTATGAGGAGGTGGCATGAACAATTTTTATTTCAAGAGAGTTGGTTCAAACCGTGAACCGAACAAGCGACTATTCTTGGAAGAAATGTGTATATCCAATAAATATATAGATATAGATATAGATATAGATATAGATATAGATATAGATATAGATATAGATATAGATATAGATATAGATATAGATATAGATATAGATATAGATATAGATATAGATATAGATATAGATATAGATATAGATATAGATATAGATATAGATATAGATATAGATATAGATATAGATATAGATATAGATATAGATATAGATATAGGATATAGATATAGATATAGATATAGATATAGATATAGATATAGATATAGATATAGATATAGATATAGATATAGATATAGATATAGATATAGATATAGATATAGATATAGATATAGATATAGATATAGATATAGATATAGATATAGATATAGATATAGATATAGATATAGATATAGATAGATATATATATAGATATAGATATAGATATAGATATAGATATAGATATAGATATAGATATAGATATAGATATAGATATAGATATAGATATAGATATAGATATAGATATAGATATAGATATAGATATAGATATAGACAGGGTGGTCTTTATTTATACAGGGTGTTGCGTAGTGTAAATTTGCACAAAATAAAAATACCCTGTGGTTGGGTTAAATTCTGTTTCCGAGTTGCTTGAGCATATTTTGAGCTGCTGCTGCGAAAAAACTTCATTTAAAAGCAATTTTCATGGCAATCTGAAAAGTATGGACAGGGGGAAAGTGGGGGCCCCTTATGGCAATGCAAACGTTGTTGCTGTGTTTGTGCAGCTCGTTTGGCATGTAAAACTGCCCTAGAACTAACCGCCCCGCCAACCCCTCTCCTACGAGCACTTCCCTCAATGCCGCTTGGCCACAAAATGTTTTTAAATTCACATAAATTAAAGGCACGGAAAAACTATTAAAGCGTTTGTCGTGCCCGCTGTGAGTGTGTGTGTGTGTGTGTACGTATTTATATATGTGAGTGTGTGTTAATGAAGAAAAATAGATGAGTGCTGTTTGAGGTGTGCGAGGCGGCGCTCGCATCCGCAGACTGTAAAATAGCAGCCGAAATGTGCTTAACATTTTATGTCTCCTCTTCTTTTCGGGCGTACAACTGTGTGTGTGTGTGCGTGTGTGTGTGGTTGTTTGTGCTACTGTTAGCAGCTGCCCCCTTCCCTTCACCTAGCTCCACCCAGTCAAACACTTCAGCTTTGCTTCTAAACAGCAACAAATTCATTTAGGGGCCAACTCAGGCCCCCAGTATTTGATGGCCCTTTTTATACCCTTCCAAATGGGGTATTCCAATTTTGTTACAAAATGTGCAACGCATCAAAATAGACATCTAGACATCCGACTAGTTTACTTAGCCATAGAATAATATCTGTGTAAGCTAGTCGGATTAACAGCTGATAGACATTTGAGTAGCAACAAAGAAAAGATTCTTGCTTATGAAAGAAACATTAAAAAAATGTTGAAAAACCTTAAAACTGTTTAAATATGTCTAGATAATTTCTCTTTAATTTCGAGGTAAAACATTTTTGGTAAATTAATATTGTTGTATTATTATATTATATTGCTAATATTTTGGCCTAAAACTGTAAGTGAACGTGTTCAAAATAATTTTTTTATTCTTCTCGCTGCCTTTGCCTCATATGGTCGGCATATGATATCGTTCATTATTCAACTATCAATAGAGCATTTAATAGTCGGGGACTCGCAGCTATTTATTTTATTTTTTGGCTGCTGTTGGACATAGTTAGGTGCTACTGTTGTTGTTGCTGTTGTTTGTAAATAAGTTGCAGCGATTTGTCGCCTGTCCGACCTGCTCGACCCCAACAGACACACACGCACACACGCACATGTACAAGGGCGTTAATTACTTCCAATTGGAATTTTGGTTAGTTTATAATTTGCCATGCCCATTTTTAATGGCCGACAAATTGATGGCCTCTTTTAACAAAGGCACTTTATGCCCCAAGGGTGGGGGGAGAGGTATGGGTAGGGGGGACTAAGGCGCTGCCATGAGCAGTGGAGGGGGTTGGGGTGCAACACTATGTAGCAGCTGCAGCTTTGCGGGGATTTGCAATGCGCGCCCCGCAATTTGAAGCCATTTGAATTACGTGTGGTCAGCTGGGTCAGTAAGCCAGCCAAGCAGAGAGGAAAGGGGGGCTGCCTCCTGGGCAGTCAGAGTGCTAGCTAGATTGCCGTAGCTAAAAGGCAGTTAAAAACTGCGGCACGTAGCCAATGGTAATGGGCGCGCGAAAGCGTTGCGATGACTGCGAATGAAAAGCCAGGCAAATAAAGGCGGCCAGAAAAAGGGCCAAAGCGCTTGGACCAGGGCAAGGCAAGAGGCGGCCCGAGGGGCATGGGCAGTTAGCACAGGGATAGATCGAGTGTGTGTGTGTGTGTGTGTGTGTACGTGTGTATAGAGAGAGAGTGGGGAACGGTGGGGGGCAGGCAAGCAATGCACAGATTCGATTACACTGAGAGCATGTGGAGTAGCGAGTGCTTTCGAGCAGGTATGATAAGGGCACGGCTGCGCAGGCAGTGGGGAGAGTGGCGGCAGGTGTTGGAGCATAGACCGCAAAATCATGCGGCTGCGTTAGTTTGAATGCAACAGCAACAACAACAACATAAAGCAACAGTCAGCATAGCAGTCAGCAGCAGCAGCAGCAGCAGCAGCAGCAAAGTTAGCTTCCAAAGCATTTTCAGATTCCGTTTCCGTTTTATTTTCACATTTTGTTTAATTCATTTTTACTCTCTCTCTCTCTCTCTGTGCTTTGGGGTTTTTACGCTTTGCTTTGACTTCGACTTTGCTGTGGCATGTACCAAAGGTGGGTTGGAGTGAGTAGGTGAGGGGGTGATGTGGGCAGCGATGGTCGTGTTGCGGCTCGGCAGGAAGCTGCGGATTTGGGGCGTTGGGCTGGGCGACTGGGGTGTTCGGTTGCCGTTGCACTCCATTGAGCCGTGCAAGTGTTAAAAGTGTTGCAAATTGCGTGGTTTTTATGCCACTGCCACTGCATCAAATGACGCTGGCAAAACGCAACGTGGGAACCTCCTCAGTTGGAGCCGCAGAGAGATCAGCCAAGAGATATATATACATATATATATACGAGCATATTTATTGTGCAATTGTCAGCTGAGCTTGCGAGATTGCAGCATTTCATGGTCAAAGAACTGGCTAATTGAACATTAAGCTGCGAGTTAAAGATTTTTAAAGCACAAGGATTTAGCTTTTAAAAGGCGACTTTTCAACTCTCCGTCGAACTGGGCGAATTATCTAAATAGTGAAATTATCTTAAACTGTATATACTATGAGAGGCCTTAAATATGATCTCTCCAGCTCTTAATATGTGCGAGTTATGCTGTATAAATAAATTGGCTTTACATTCGTTAACATTGTGAATATAGCCGGAGATATATAAGTACGTTGTTTTAGATATGAGCATATGCAATTTAATTTGGAAGACTGTAATGTTTGCAGCTCTCGAGATTGGCGCATTAATAAGGACGAGGAGACGAACGTAGCTAGATCCTGATCGAGAACATATTTACTTTATGCAGTCGTATAAGATTCCTTTTCACTGTTGTAGACATTTACAAAACTAAAGAAAGTTCAGGGTTCATAACAAAGTGTAGTTCGCACAGTGAAGGGTGATACAAGCAACACCTTATTCTTTGCGACTGCCACTTGGTCAGTTTGTCTTCTAAAATAAACTTTCATTTTTAACAAATATTTGAGTCCATAAATTCGCTTACACACCTTCATTTCATTACCTGTTCCGCTCTTTCACCAGCTAATATTACAGGGTCTCAGTGCTGACCCTCGCTGCTGACTAAGCTATCTCGTATTCACTTGCAACATTAGCTGACCTCTTTACTTGCAGCTTTAAAATATGAGAATAAATTACATTGTGCTTAACCTAGTGCCTGATAAATTTAACAGCAGCTTTGCAGTGTTGGCAACTGCAGCAGAATTGCGTTTTACCTTGCTTAACAGGAATAAACCAATTTTCCAGATAAAGAAAAGTATATAAATTATAGAAGAACTCTCCAATGCCAAAAAGTAAAAAAGTGGACTAGAGAGTTACTGCTAAGGGTTTATTTACTTTAGCAGCAAAATTAAACTACATATTACAAATCTTTTACTAAAGCAAATATACCATTTGCATGAAACATACCTATTATTAACATATCCGCAATCGGAGGGATGGAAAGGGCTCTGCTTATTTATAACGAATTGATAACCCATCAGTCATTTTAATATAATTTCTCTTTAACCGAGTAAACGTACTGCAGCTTTAAAGAATTATATTTTAATTATGGCACAGTTAACCAACACTACTTGGGTGTAGTAAGCTCTTGCGCACTAATTAAAATTCCCATTGTAGTTTGGCTTTGGCATATCTTTGCTTTTGATTCGAATTTTTCGCATTCCTGACCAGCACAACAAATCACATTCATAATCTTAATCCCCCGCCATTATCCGACCCCTTGAACATTCCCAAAATAACACAAAATTAAGTACAGTCTGCGCTGGAGTTGGGAGTCGACTGAAGCTGAATGAAGTCGAGTCTTGGCACAAAGGACACTCATTATGCATTCCCATCAGTTCTCTCTCCCTCTCTCGCTCGCTCCCACCCACTCTCTCCTTCTCTCTCTCTCTCGCTCTGTCTCCGTCACTCGTATCGCTTTCTCTAGTTTTTTACGTTATGCTATTTTTTAAATAAGCAACTGTTTTTTTGCATACTTTCAGGCGCGCTGCCAACAAACTGCAACAAAATGTAACCGCAGCAGAGTTGCCAACATTTTTCCTCCCCCACCAACAGCAGTCCGCCAAAAGGCACGCCACGCCCCCTCGACGATGCCACATTGTTGTGGTTGGCATATAAAGTGTTGCATTTTGTTTTGTGTTCCAAGCGATTCGGTCGCAATTCGATGCCCCGTCTGCGACGCCACACGCCCGCTGCCTGCCCCCCGCTCTAGCAAGGCCCAGACATATGAGCCGCAATGATTCTTGTTGCATATGTGCAACAACTTAACTGCCAGCTGATAGCTGTAGCTGTTACTGAGCAATGGCCGCCGTTAATTCGCGCAATTTGTTGCAAGTCAGCCAAAAGGAAAAACCAAACCAAACGAATCCGAGAACTATCCGATTCGAACCGAGCTGAGCGCTGTCCTGGCTATTGTCCTGGCTTTTGTGGCCATGCTAAATGCGCACAGCTGTCGGGATTAGCCGGGGTACGGCACGAGATTGCAATGTAAACGCCGCGAATTAGTTCAAGCCGTAAACCGCCTCAGCCACCCCCGAAATCGCACAAACACACACATAAATGTAATAAAGAAATAAAATTCTGAATGGGGGCGCAACAAACAATACCCTTGGCCTGTGCTCGGCCACCATTTCCCATTTCGCATTTCCATTTCGATTGCAGCCGCTGCCCAAAAACTCGGAAAACTCTGAAAATTAAACAGATGGCGCGCATTAGATGCGCTTCACTCGGATCCCCGGAGACCAAAAGAAGAGCCGCGACCAAAAACACCGAATCCAACATAACACACACAAATATAACCCACAAACTTCCACCAAGCAGTGGACCACAATCGATTCATCTCTGGCCAAAAACAGGTGAGTTTCTTGATCAAATTCAAATATTATCTGGTAATTGCAATATTATATTTGCTTACAGGTGAGTAGCATGGCTTATATTTGATTACATTAGCTTAGTTTCCAATAATTACAAGCTGGCTGGCGCAAGAGCTGGCCAAGCCAAGAGCAAACAGGTAAGCAGACTGCTTATATAGATTCTTGATTTCTTGTTAGTTTTCAAGTTGCCTCACTGTGCAACTGCTTAAAGCAACTGATTTAGAGACACGTATTATTTTTTCATATGATCATTTAATTATAACGCTGTACAATAATTTGTGCGTTCATTTTACGCCCTTACATATTCATTTACTCTGCTTTGGTTCCACTGTGCATCAGTTGAAACGAAAATTGTAATGCTTATTTTTTTTTTATATTGTACTCAATATTGTGTTACATTTACGGGCTGCACCCCAGCTCGAAAATGTTTTGAATAAGTTTATTTGTACCAAGTAACTTTTATTTTGTCTTTGGTTTCCTGTCATTTTGTCCCACTGTGCGCGAGCGTGCAGTGCTGGTGGCTGGGTCACCGTTTCCATAACGAAATCGAAACAAATTGCTGGCGAATAAAGCAAATCTAAATATTAATGTGCGACTCAATGAGTTGGAAGCGAGTCGCGTCGCAGTCAGGCACTTGGGTTTGGGTTTGGCTTTGGCCATAAGTTTCGGCCAGGGTTTGGGCATTTTTGGGGTAGGCCTCCGCTCGATTGCAGGTAGCGAGAGCAGCGTGCCGCGGCTAGCCGATTCCTCTTTCAATATTTACTCTGCTTGGCTCGCGTAAATCTTTGGCAAAACCTTCCACAGCCAGCTGGTCAGTCCGTGTCGGGGCGTGGGCACGGTGCCGGGGCTTCAAATAATGGATGGCCGCGACCCAGCCGGGCAGACGTCGCTTGGAATTTCGCTCGACATAAATATTTTTATCACTTGCCTTTGCCGGCGCTTCGAGCTTGTTTGTTTCCGTTTATTTTTTGTAGCTTTCTTGTTGGGAAATGAAAGAACGGACACGGATGTGGACTCGCTGAGCGAGTGGCTGCCCCGCCCAAATAAACAGAAAAAAAAAAAGCAAAACTAATTCAAATTAAAGCCTTTAATCTCGGCGCTGAATCGCCGCGACTTGTGCGTTAAATCAATTTGATGTTCCCTCTTTAGCAATTGAATAGGGCCAGAGAAATTTTGATGCTAATCAAAGTATTTCGGAGCTGCAGTCAAATAGAACGTTCGAAAACTTCAGGTACTATGAATGTGTGTGGATATTTGTTGGCGAAGTACGTAAAATACTGGACATAGAATATACAACTCAATGTCGACAACTTTTTGAGCAAGAAGAACAACAACAATTTTTATTAACAATAATAATTGCATTTCCGTACTGGAAAAAACAACTTTTAGTCTGAAGGGGGATAAAAAGGATTCTTTCACTAAATGAAATATTCATGAGATGTGGACAGAAAGTCCGCAAATCCAGACCAGAGTTTTAAATCGATACAGAAAAAATGCCTACACTTGAGTAAGAGTTTTCCCAGTTTCCAGGAATATAAGACAGTCGAGAGAGAAAAGAATACCTTGGATCCGTGTATACAAAACAAGTTTCTACATCTGACAACTTTAGCTCTTAAAAGCTGCAATATCTGCTTAAAAAACATAATTTCGATATTGATTTCTTTCGACTTCCTGGAAACGCGACAAGATTTTGTAGACTTGAAAGAAACTTGAGATACACGTGCCATAGCAGAAGCTGCATACAAAAAGTCAAGTCTTTAGCTTTTAGAGTTTCCGAGATCGCATAGACGTACGTTTAGACGGACACGGACGGACGGACGGAAATATTGTCACCCGGAATGCAGCCGGTCGCAGTTCGGGCATATTTGTCTCCACAGATTCGTCTATGGCCCACGCACAGCTGCCGGCTTGTGGTTCATTTCCCAAATGCCAATTGCCCAGGAGATTTGGTCTATAAGCCATAAATTAGCACAGTCGCAAGAGCTGACGCTGACCTTCGACTGCAGGCCGTGTTACCGTTATGGGGTTGACCCGCAACGTCGTGACAGAAGCGACGCCCTAACTTGATGTCGCCCCGCTGCGCATTTGTTTCTTTGATTAATTCTGGACGCTGGCCCACAAAAAGTTAATCGTTAGTAATTTATGGCTCTCTGTGGAGGCGAGACAGCCAAATAGCAATGGACATGGACATGGAGAAGAGTGGAGTGGAGTGGAGTGGAGTGGAGTGGGGCGGATTGCGTCTGCGTGCGTCTGCAAGGTGCGGACAATGCTGAGCCAACAGCAAAGAACACAAATAATTGGTTTGTACAAATGCGGACACACTCGGATGACGCTGATGATGCTGATGATGATGATGATGATGATGACGGCATAAATGACCCGCTGACTTTGACAACAAATATGCCAGGGGGCGGCGGGGGTAGATCGCGGCACATTGCTGCGACACGATTCGATTGGAATCGATTGGATTGGTTCTGCAGCTGGTCCTGCCAGACGCTATACGCCACACGCCGCACGCCGCATGCCACACGTCGAGGCATTCAAATGCGCCATCCAAGTGTTGAATTAAGCACCAAAAATGCAAGGCGAAGAATGCCGATGACGTCGGCCTCGTCCACTGGCACTGACACTGGCACTAGCACTGGCATTGGCCATGAGCATGAGCGGAGCAAACGAATGCTCCGCTGCCTGGCAGAATGCATTCAATTCGAGTTCAATGCGCTTCAGGAGAAGTACGAGCCGCACAATGGTGGCAATTGAAAGCGCCACTCGACGGGGCCGAACAACAGGGCGAACAACTGTCCGACTGACCGTGCGACAGTGAATGCCAGCTATGAGGCTTGACGAGGGCTACTCAACAGATTGCCGCACTTTTCCCAAATTAAGTTCAGCTTTAGCTCAAGCAATTACACAATAGCTAATTAAAATATGCAACCTTTAAAATATTTCAAATACTCAATTCCACCCGCAAGCGTGGATAAAAAGCGAAATTAAGCCAAGATATTTTTCACTATTTCATAAAATTCAGCTCCCCTCGATCGTATTTGTAGGTCAGGTTCGGGCTCATTGGCAAGAATCTCTTTCGAAATTAATTTCACATGTGATTCACGCTTTCACGCCTGCTCGTGGAAAATGCGTGTAAAAGTTTATATGAGCCTAGCTTTAGGTTTTGTTTACCGTTCGACTTGACATTCATTTGTTTAGCTCTACGTAAAACTTAATTATTTTCACAGGTTTTCTGAAATTCACTATTTAATTAGCGAAATCTTTCTTAAATGTGGAAAACAGTTTTCTGATTAAGTGCAAAAATTTTGTTGTATATGCAAGTTAAGGTGGGACCATACCCTGAAGAGGGCTATAAAACAAATGTCCATATATTCTAATTCAGAAATATATGTGAATATAAGATATGGATATATATATTTATTTGGATAAGCAAATTGCAGTGGCATTTTATTGCCAGTCCTCGTCGCATATTGGGGCCAATGGCATTTTTTTTATGAGGCATAGGGGATGACTTTTTCTATGTACTTACTTTTGCATTCATTGGCATCGTTGTCGGTGGCACGTCCCCAGGGGCGATCGAAGTAGAAGGGTTTGCAGCGCTCGCACTCGGGTCCGGCGGTGTTGTGCTTGCAGGCGCAGGTCATGGCCAGCTTGGCGCTTAGCTGCAGGGCGGAGGTGGTGCGTCCAAAGTGGACGCTGTGCAGCGAGGCGGGCATATCGTCGTCCTGGCCATCGTCCGCGTCGGCATGCACTGAGCCGGGGCCGGGGCTGGTCGCAATACACTCGGAGGCGTGGCCATTGCACTTGCAGCGTCCGCCGACAGCGAAATCAGAGACGGCATAATGCTGCGAGACGGAAAGCAGTTGCTGCATGGCAACGGATGCTCCGGAATTGTCCGAGGATGTGCCCGATTTGCTGGGCGACGTTGTTTTGGGCGTGACTGGCGGAAGCGGCGGTGCGGGCGGGGTACTGACCGTGAGCTTGCTTTGGAAATGTTTCTCGTAGGCGCTGCTCTTGTGCTTGGACTGGCGCTTGCTCTCGCCATCGTTGGCATAGTCCAGATGCAGTTCGTCATCGAGCTCGAGATGCTTTTTGGGCTCCTCGTACTCCTCCTGGTCGTAGCCGGCGCTGTCGTTGTCCTGCAAATTGTAATCGTACTCATCCTGTTCATCCAGCTCATGTCCATCCAGTTCCTCCTCCTCCTGGCTGGCGGTCATCTCATCGCTGAAGCTGTTCGCATTGCCCTTGGCCTTGGCCCGACTTAGTAGCAGCTGCGGCGGCAGCTCCAGACGATGGAACACCACACGTATATCGGTTGCCGTCACCCAATCCTGCAGTACCAGCGACGCGTCCAGATCATTGGCCGACGGACGACCCTCGAGCGTGTTGAAGGCAAAACGCTGTGCGGCGCCGCCGCTTGCCCCATCGTGCTGTGAGTTCATGCAACGTGCCTCCTGCTCGTTAAATTTGCTGATCTTGGCCCGGTCGGCACGTCCGTAAAACTTCTGGCACTGCGAACTGTAGAACTGGAAGGGCTGCCAGGTTTGGCCAAAGTCCGAGCTCTTGTATATGGCCAGCGAATCTGGCCGCGGTGATTTGGGGCAGAACGAGAGCGAGATGTAGGTCAGCTCGTATTTCTTGCCCAGCGACAGGGTTAGGGTGACATTGTCCGGCGGCGCTGTGTCTGGATCGTGGGGCACATTCACGCTGCCGGAACGCCAGCAGGTCACATTGCTCGGATTGTTAAGATCCGTCAGGGCAGCGGCACCATAACGACTTATCCCATGCTCTGACTTATCGCAGAGCCGACACTCGCCGGCGCTGCCATCGCGCTGGAGCTCACAGAAGCGCTCCGGCTGCTGGGCGCCACAAACGCTGGACGCCTGCACCGGATTGCCATAGGCGGCATTCACAAAGCTGGGCAGGCACTTGCGCGGCTTCCCCTCAAAATAGCACGGATCGTTGGCATTGATATTGATGCCGGCGGCGGCGTTGGCCAAGCATGCGGCAAGCAGCGCGCCCAGTTGCAACTGCAACAGCAGCGGCAGCCTCATCCTTGAGTTGTTTCCTAGGCCAATTGCGATTTGAATACCGCAATATCGCCTCTCTCTGCTCTCTTCTCTCTGTTCTCTTCTCTCTCTCTCTCTTGAATCACTCTCTTTTATGCTTTTGTATATGTGTCTCTGTCACTCGCGAGGATCAATGCGCGTACGAAGCAAGCACAAAACAAAAACAACAAAAACTCGCAACACACAGCCCGCAACACGCGGCACGCTGGACGCTGGACGCTGAGCGGCGGCGTCACTGAGTCTGGCACGGCGGCCGCATGCAACAGCTGCCGCTCCGATTGCCGTTTGCTGTTTGCCGATTTCAATTTCGGTTTCTGTTTCACAGTCTGCTGCTGATTCTTCTATTCTCCTTCTCTCTCTCTCTCTCTCTCGCACACACACACACACTCTCGCTGAATGTAATTGCCACTTGTTCTGGCGCTTGATGTGGGCTAAGAGACCGCGATGCGATTTGCGATGCAACTCGGTCAACGGCCAGCGTTGTTCTGTTTTGTTCACGTCCTCGTCGCGTATCCTGCAGGCGAGGCGACAACAAGCCAAATGATTTGTTGCTGTTGTGTTGAGTTTCTTTGCGCTTCGATTCGCTTCTGCTCTACGCTTCGCTTCGCTTCGTTTCGTTTCGTTTCGTTTTTTGGTCTCGCCCAATTCACCACTGCATGTTGCGGATGCTGCTGCGGCTGCTGGCCGCAAATGTTGCTACAGCACCAAGACACCGAAAAAAAAAAATGCTAACAAAATTTATACGACACACATACGCGCGTGGGCTGTGCGCCAAGCACGAGCACAAGCAACGACAACAACAAATACACACACACACACACACACACAAAAACACGCTTTGCTCGTTCGCTGTTCACTGTTCACTGTTCGCTTTGCGTCGGCTTCGTTGTTCACCTGGCAAACGTTTGTCAGTTACTGAACGGCCGCAGCATCTCGGGCCGGTCGCTTGCCGGCTGCTGTTGCTGTCGCTGCCGTTGTCGTCCGTTGCTTGTGGGCCGCAACACACGCTCTCTCTCTCTCTCTCTCCCTCTCTCTAGCTGTCTCTTGCTTAGTTTTGTGCACTGTGTGACGCTGCTGTTGGCATCGCTTCAATGCGCTACAAGTGTGTACATTTTATTGAAAGGCCATGTGACAATTGCGTTACAAACTATTCACTTTAATGGATAATAATATCTTTTGTTTCCTACCAGGCAATGCTCATTTAGGAACCATAAACGTGTTTTTTTGGTATTGTTTTTGAGCAAATTGTGTATATATACACGAAATTTACAAAATACAACAATTATATATACACACACATATGGTTAATGCAATTTGTTTAAACTGTAACCTTTGCAAAAAATATGTCTTGGTTTTGGGCCTGTCCTACCACTGTGCGCAGTGTGGATGTAGGTTTTGTGGATGCTGCTTCTTAGCAACATTTGTTGCTCAGGCACATGTTGCCACTGGCATTTGTTGCAAACATTTCTTTTGATGTGCCTAATTTGTCGCTGTTTTTTTTAACCTTTTTGGCAACCTGCCCAAACTTCAAGCCCAGACATTTTGAATTAGTTGACTGTGGCTGTGGCACAGGAAATGTAAAATCGTTTGCTGATATATGCATGTGTGTGCGTGTGTGTGTGTGTGTGTGTGTGTATTGTCTGTTCATTTAAGCGCGCGTCTTCGCCTTAACCTCAATTCGCGCAGCGCTTTCAAAACTTCCGCTGTCATGAATTCAATTCAATTTATTTCATTCAGAATGCAAAACGCCGACAAATATGCTGCGTCAGACGTCGACGTCGACGCAGACGCAGACGCAGCGTCGCCGCGACGCCGGGACGCCTGCGCAGCAGCAGCCTCTTATTGACAGTTAATGCCGCCAGCGCGCCAAAAGGCATGCTCCAGTCGGACACGCTGCCAGCCCCCGCCGCACCCCTGACCCACTCGCAATATCAGCCTTTTCTTTACTTTTCTTTTCTTTTGTTTTCTTCTTTTATTTATTTTTTTGCTCTCTTTGCTTCGCTGTGGTGTCATCTGCAATTTGTAAGGCCGCATTACGCAGTCCCTAAATGCCCCCCCCCCCCTCCCTCACTCTCTCTGCCCCTTCATTTCTCCGCACGCATTTATTTATCGCTTGTTACCTTTCGGGCCTGGGAACGTGCCCAAGCTGCGACGGCCGTCGCTTTGCTTCCGTTTGGCCGCGCGACTGTCCAACGGTTTGCCCAAGGCCCCCTTCGCGCGCCCAGCTCCTTGCTCCCCCCTTTGCCACTTGTCCCGGCTCCTGACCGCCTTTTTCGGTCGCCTTTTGATTTATTGTTTTTGACATTTTGTGCGTCGTCTGCGCTTATTTCTCGGTTTGCAGTTGCTTTTCGAGTGGTTCCCAACAATTCGAGTCGTTATGTTTTATTTATAACGGATTTGTAGCCGGAGCTCGCTTTGTTTATAAATATTTATGTACGAGAGCTGCGGCTCATGTGTGCGCCCAGGGGGGTTGGGCTGTTGGGTGTTGTATAGGCCTTGTATGGCAAGGCGGTTAGCGGTAAACTTTTCGGTCTCTGGGCTCCTGTCAGGCCCCATCAGCGTCCAAGCTGGCCAACTATGAAGCGTATTTGACCCGTGGCTGTGACTTTTGAGCCGGGTTCGTAACGGAATTTTAATTTCATTTATTTACGTGCGCCTAGTTGCGCCCCAACTTGGATCCGATTCCAGCTCAAAGTCGGGCCGAGCCGGGCCGGGAGCAGCTTTAACTTTCAGTTTCACCTGCGAGCCGAGCGACTTTATCAGCTGTTCCACCAACTGCAGCAGCTGCGGGGCAGCTAAAGCAAAATAAATGCTTGCAACTTGCAACGGGAGCAGTTGCAACGTCTAATCATGATTAGACTAGATGCTGTGGCAGTTGCACTTGCAACGCCAGCTGCGGGCGCCTCACACTGGGCGTGGCAGGCCGCTGCCAAGCAAAGTGCCCGCACTTGACGGATGATAATGCTTGCGTTGCTCGCAGTCATAGCCAAGGCTGCAGCTGCAGCTGACTTAAGTGAAATTCTCTTTTGGGGGGCGTGGCTGTTTGTCACTTGCAGCCGTTTGCCAAATCAAAGAGCGCAGCTAACTGTATATTTTGTGTGCAACCAGTTCAAACTAATTTCACAGCGACCTCTCTATGCGATTCTCAAGCGGCAAAACCAAAACCAATTGTGCTTGCGCTGAGTTAAACAAATGTTAAATAAGTGTAGAGAAAATTCAAATTGTAAACAGCATCAAAATATCGGTTGAGTTTTGATAAATTCTTTATTTCTATATACACTCTGTGTCCACAGAGAAGAGTATAATATAGGATACGGGCAATGTCCTTTTAAATACATTTCCTTGACAATCTTCAGAATTGGCTTTTCAAGCTTGGCATATAACTCGTCTTATACAATTCTCTCTCTCTCTCTCTCTCTCTCTCTCTCTCTCTCTCTATCTCTCCACCCTCATATAGCTGACACATTTCTATATCAACACACTCACTTAATCCGTTTCTCATGATGCACTTCGAGGCATAAATTTCTTTGAGTGTAGGCAAATATGCCCAAGTCGTAACGCGTGATTAGTCATGGGGTTTGGCTGTTTGTCTACTGCTGCTGCCACTGCAACTGCAACTGGTATCGGCTGCTGTGATGCTGCTGTCTGTGTGATCCCTTGCATCCACTTGCGGCAACAACAACAACTCCGCGGGGTGCATGCCACAATAAAATCAAACGAATATCGACAGGCGGCCAAACTGAGGCCGCAGTTCGCGGTTCCTGCAGTCCCTGTGTGAGTCTGCCGAAAGTCAAAGTCAATGTCAGTTTGCTTATTGCCGCCTCGACTACTGTTTACAGTCGCTGCCGTTGCAGTTGCAGTTGCAGTTGCCGTCGCTGCGGCAATTAAGTCAAACAACAGCAGCAGGAAGTTGTCGCCCCATTGCCTACGCCCGCGCCAGCTTCTGTTCCCGCTCCCGCTCCCGCTCGCACTGCTGCTGCTGCTCCTGCTCCCGTTCCTCATCGTCGCTTGTCAAGTCAATTGGTTTGCCACCACAATATTAATGCAGCCCGCTCTTGCCCCTGCCCCTGGCCACGCACTCACCCGCAACCTTATCCACACCTTGCCCCATCTCTGCCTGCCTTCACGCTGCGTTGCCCGCTTGGTCTTAAGTAAATATTTGGCCTACGTGCCCATTACGTGATTTTCCGATAGTCTCGTCGAGCTGATGTTGATGTGCCTGCTGCACTTGAGATGCAGCGTCAATGATGAGCATGATGATGCTTCTGCTGCTGCTGCTGCTGCTGCTGCTGCCTCACCCACTTGACATGACCAACGAGCACGGAGAAAGACAGAGGAGTTAGGAGTTGGGGCAAATGTGTGGACTTAAGAACTGCTTCTAAATGCCTCAATGCATCTACGAGCAGACTTTCTCTCTCTCTCTCTCTCTCTGTCTCTCTCTCGCTCTCTGCAAGATTCACCCGGAAGTTAAACCTGCTATAAATTATTATTGTCTTTTCCAATTCATAAAATGCCTGAAATTCTTTTTGTTCTACAAATTTGTGTTACCCATTTTCTAGTGGAATCCGAAATGACAATTCCAATTCAATTTCACAATAAAGCAAAACTTTAACCAAATCATAAGCAAACTTATTTTAAAAGTCAAAAATGATTTAGTTAAAAATACAAATTCTTTTGCAAAATTACAAACAACATTGGCCCTAACCATTTTATTTATCCAACCATATTTAACAGATGCCAATTTTAGCTAGAGCACGAATAGCCTGGAATAGCCTGGAATTTGTATATGAAAATATTTACGATTTGCAATATTTTCTGTGCAACAAGCAAATTTATTTTCAGAGCTTTATTGATTTTATGAAAACTTTTCAAATATGTGACAGACCGTTTCTCTTCTAATATAATTTATGTATTCTAAACAAGTTTTATATGCCTTTTTTTAAGGCCTTGTAGAGGGTTTATTAATTTTTTCGTTTTGACATTTGCTTAAGGCATCCATCCCCGATCCCATAAAGGCTATATATATTCTAGATATATTTCATAGGCAGAGTCCAATTGCCCGTCCCTCCATCTGTCAGTCCGTCTGTGCTTCCGCGTGTCCATCCGTCCGTCCGTCTGTCAATCTGTCTGTTTATATGCGAACAAGTCTCTTTGTCTTGAAGCTGTCGTCGTGAAACTTAGCATAGTTTTCTGTTCCGACATTTGTCCTCTTAACCATATAGCTGCCATATCCGTACAATCTCGTTTTAATACAGTTTATATATTAAAAAGGTTTCGGACAACTAATCTAGTTACAGGGAATCTTGCTTGTTAAATATTTGATAGAGTTTTGTATATTTTGTTTGTCTAACAGACATCAGTTAATTTTGAGGATATTTTATTAGATATTTTCGCATTAGAATAATCTCTGAAACCACGGTGTGGCATTCAACGAATGACTACTGTACCGAAATACTTCATGCATATGGAAATCTACATCTTTTCCCTTTTTTTTTGTGCGGAAAGGGTGCTGTTTGTCGTATAGTAATTTTGTAATTTGTTGATTTAATATTTCCTGCAAATGAAAATGCCTATTTGATATGCTGTCAGGCGCAGAGGAGGGCAGCTCAACAGTTTTCGGGGCGAAATAAACGAGAAAATATCTGTATGCCACTTTTTTGTTCATTAAGAGACGCCCACACACACTCACACACACACACTCACACACACACACGTACTCGCGCAGAGCTCAACCGCAGAGCCCAAAGTCAAGAGCTAAAACAACAGCAACAACAAGGATGTTACTGCCACTGCTGCTGCTGCTGCTGCTGCTGTTGCTGCTGTTGCTGCTACTGCTGGTATCCTGTTGCTGTTGCCATATAAAACTTTATGCTTCGTTAAAAATGATGTACAAATCAAATGCCAGAAGCAATTTAACAACAAAAACAACTGCCACAACAATGCGCCGGAGACGGGCTCAGGCGAAGGATATGCCAATGTGGGCGGGAGCGGGGCGTGGGAGTCACTGCAGAGCTAGGGCCAAGGCGTCCACGGCCAACGCAGCGAGAGCTGTTGCAAAAGGCAATGAACAAAATAAATAAATCATTTAAATGAAATAAATTACACATACACACACAGACGCACACACACACTATACAGCTGGGTGGGTTGAGGTAGGTGGTGAAATGCCAGCCACAGGGCTCATTAGAAATACATAACAAATCCACCCGCACACACACACACACTCGACTAGAGAGGGAGAGCGAGAGAGAGAGAGCGAGAGAGAGAGAGAGAGAGGAAGCGTTAAGAAGCTTTCAAGCGTGCAGCAAAAACTAAAAAATTATGTATTTTGTGCAACAACAAGGCGAGAGAAAACAATGCAAAAATACAAAGTATATACACAAAAATACAAATAATAATAAAAATAATATAAAGTGAAAAAGAAAAACATTTTTGAAAATTAATTGAAACCAAAAGTGCACACACGGCAAATAAATAAGCCCAACGGGCAATCGACAAGCAGCTAAAACAACAAAATGTTCATCAAATAAATATAAACCATAAAACGGTACGCTTCACATTTTACCATATGCGACGAGTTGTATATCATAATTTCCATATATTCCGCCCGCCAGCGGGGCGCAAGTGCAGCACGGAGCTCGACCTCCCGGCTAGGTTATACTCGGAGTCCTGGCTATTGAAAAGTTCAGCTATTTGTTTGTTCACACAACTTTCCCATAAAAAACTCTCTGGGTATATGTTCATATAGAAATTCAAAAAATAGCAGTTCTTATATCATTTGTGTACCCTTTTAGAGGGTCCTATAAGTTTGTCATGAAATGTGTAACGCAAAGAAGGCGACATCTCCGAAATCATAAAGTATATTTATTCTAGTCGATTTAATATAGCCAGATCCGTGTGTCCATCTGTCCGTCTGTCCTCCCGTCTGACCATCCGTGCGTCTCTCTGTGTAAAACTTAGCTAAGGTCCTCTGCAGACAGTACATATGTATATCAGAACCGACCCGATCGAACCGCTATATCATATAGCTGTCATATGAGAGATCAGTCGAAAAGCAGGCTCTTATATGGCAAAAATTTCTGTATTTCAAGATTTTTCCAACTAATACATATTCCTACATATTATTACCCTGTTTTGATACGCTCTTGCATTTCTCTAAGGAGCATAATGTCCTGTTAACTCGCCTGCCAAATGATTTTTTATCAACACCATGTGAAGTGAAGCAAGCGATAGAAAAGAGATCTCAGCTGAAAGGAAATGTGCACACAAATAATCGAAATGCTTTAAAAATATGAACAGAAAGGAATTTCGTCACAGTGAAGACTTCAAGTGGCCTTCCAGCAAATATCAAAGTCAAACAAATGCGAAGCGAAAACAACAACAATAACGACAACAACAACTGAAGTGGAGTCGAGTATTTTGCACTAAAAGCGAAACTACTTAGCATTTGGCATCAGGCGAAAACCGGAAGCGGAAAAGCCAGGAATGAGGTCAAGAGACAAAATAAGCTTCCGCCGGTGGCAGCATGTGTGACCCCTCCATTTGCCATAGACCCACCAACCCCGGCCACGCATCACTTAGAAAGTCGGCTGAACTGCTTCCTGCCAGCTACCCAGCCCCCCTCCCGCCGCATCCCCCCTCTCTATTTATCAGCCGCCCTTAGCACTAGAAGGGAATTTAACGGTCAAATCGCTTGACTTTTTTCGCCATGTTCGGCATCTCCCACCGCCGCCACTGAGAGCTCGACGAGGGGCTTGAGGCCCCGAGTCCCAGGCTCAAGTTCTATTTTGTAAGTGGGCCCTGGTCATGGCGGTTTCTACTTCGTTTTTTGTCTTCTTTGAGTGGGGGCAACTCACGCTTCATTAACTCGTTTGATGCCCAGTATTGAGAGCGGGGCGAAAGGAACCACAGAGTTTCCCCATTTGAATTTGATTTAGTGTTATCATTTGTGAATTTATAGTGGTTTAGTGGCCATTTGGAGCGTTAAGAGACGAAAATCGCATATTAATTATGCGGCACGTTGTCGGGCTGTCATTTCGCTGCAGTCTCAATTCATTTGCTACAACTTTGGGGCATGTTCAGTGAAGAGTTTTACTGTGAAATTGTCAAGAAAATGCGTGTTTAAGCCAGATTAAATGCAGCTCTGCGTAGATTTATGGGCCCAGTTACCCAAGCCCTGGCTCTGGCTCTGGTTCTGGCTCTAGCTCTGGCTCTGTCTCTGGCTCCGACTCGGGTTGATTCCAATTCCAATTCGTTTGCCCTGTCGCTCTTCGCATTGTTTACTTCAATTATTTATGGGCCAAAAAAATCATCTGACAAAGCTATCAAATTTCCAGTGCAACGCAACATCTAGCTCAGCAACATGCTGCCAGCAAGCAGGCCTATCAACAAAGTTGCTGGCAACATGTTTGTGGATGCTGTTTGGTGAGTTTCTGGCCCATTCCCGCTGCCGTTGATCCGATCGAGTGGGCGCCCGCTGTGGGCGTGCCCAGGTAGGCGTATGCGCCCAACTGCCGTAGTCGATATCGAAAAAAGTAATTAAAGGCAGCGGAGCTGCGTTGGGCAATGTTGGGCAATTGCCACGCCTACCAGCCGCCCTCAACCTCCAACGCGCGTGGCTGTCAAGTGCAGTATGTGCCGCATGCGGTCGCCAAATGGCAACAACGATAGCAACATCCCAACACACGACAGCACCACGAAGCGCGAGTGCTCTGGCTGTGAATTATCAAGAGCGATTGATTTCGCGTTATCGATAGTCAGACGAATATATCGATAAGTAAATATACTTGAAGAAAAAGATATTTTATAGCCAAAAGGAAATTTCAAAGGACATTGTGTGAATGCTTACCTTGAGACAGCATCGATGTACAGCAACAATTACACATAAAATATAATCGATTAACCAATTGCAATCAATGCGTTTTATGTGGCATATTAAACAATATAAATTAATTGATTGCAGGCAATTTTATTATGTAAAATGTGCGTTAATTTGCGAAAACAAGTAAAATTTATAAATTTAAATGCTTATCGCTGGGTAAATTCTGAAGGAATGGTCAGCAGAACATTATGAGAAGGCAAGAGATTTGTCGATCATTACATCAGGCGAAAATCGATTAATATCGACTAGCTCTGAAACATCGAGTTTTTAATTAAAATTCGTATTACTAGATAAGTTTTGAATGTGCAGCGGAGGACCCAAAGATCACCCAACGAATTAAACGAAAATCGATTAATATGGTTTAATTTTGAAATATCAAATACTTAATTGAAATTAGTTTAGTTTTAAGCGAGAACACGTTGCTTTCGATAAAAAGGTTCAAGTTCACCTGAGCTAAGTACCAGAAGAGCGCTTAGCTCTGGGCATAGCTGATGTGCCCGAAGTAGGGAAAACATCACGCATCCGTTTTATGCAACGCAAACGACAATTATCAGCGACATGAGCAAACCAATTGTGCGGCCGTTGTTCGCTTTCCGGCGGACAGGAAGTGCGCGATAGGCCGGTCGTCCAGCCAGTCAGCCAGGGAGGCAGCCAGGCAGCCAGGCAGCCAGGCAGCCAGGACATTTTGGACAGCAGTCTCTCGACCTGGTTTGGGTTGTGTTATTTGTGTGTGTAATTGTCGCGGCGCAGTTGCCACAAAAACTGATTACAGTGTTCCATTGTCCAAATAGGCGGTGTCGTTTTCCGACATATCCTGCGGCCACATCCGCTATGCAAAGGTCAAGCTCCGATTGGACGTTATTAAATTTATTCAATACTTTTACAGTCTTAAATCTAAGCACAAAAAAAATATAATAGTACAAAGACGCACAGAAAAAAAAAACGTAGCATAGCAAATTCGATCCGAAAAAAAAATATTACAAATTTTTCTTAACTTAGGGCTAAACAATTTACAGATCGTACGATACGTAGGTACAGATAATACGCGACCTGCTTCACCGATTTGGAGGCACTTCAAAACGCGATCTCGGTTCGATTCGCAGGTCGGCATAATAAGTAGGCACAGAATAATTATACAATATATATATAAGATGCATATATATATATATATGTGTGTGTATATATATATACATATAGCAGACGGGTACGTGCTTCTAGGTATCCTTGACCTTGGCATCCAGTGCGTCCTGCACATAACCGCGATTCTCAATGCCATTTTGCCGCGACGCTGTCGCCGTTGCCGTTGGGCTTGGATGTGCCTCAGCATGTTCCAGGGACTCGTGTATCACATTTGCAATGATGCCATTCAGCTGGCCCTTGGCCTCGCTGGCCAGGGCCAGCGCCTCGACAGCATTGATGTTGCCATTGGGCTCTCGTATGGAGCCGTGCTCCGTGTCCGAGCGCGACTCGTTGCGACGCTGCCGCACCTGGAAGCGGTACATCCAGCTGCAAAGAGAAAGTCAGGGTGTATCAAGAGTGAGTAGCTAGACGTACGGATGTATACTCACAGAAAGATGCCCACGGAGAAGACGGTTAGGCCGCCGCCGAGAAGAAAGAAGGCTCCGGGCAGCACCCGGAGCGTGGCCGCGTACAGAGTCGTATACATGGGCGCAAAGACCATGGGCATTAGTGCCTCGGCGACGCCAAAGAGCGAATTGACCTTGCCCAGCTCATCCTTGGACACCAGCTTGGTGGCTATCGAGCGCATGGCTATGAACGCGGTGCCATTGAAGATCTCAACCAGTCCGCCCAGATACATGTGCCACGGCAGCGTGGCAAAGGCGTACACAAAGGACGACAGTATTTTTGAGGTGCTGGAGAGCACGCCCACCAGCGCATCATCAATATTTAGTTTGTGCGAAAGTATGCCCACACAAAAGATGACGCCAATGAGGCCCGTGAACATTGCATAGGTGGAAAAGAAGCTGAACTCGACCTCGGACCAGTTGAACCGGAAGCGCGTGAACAGATACGTGACTGCCATCTCGCCATGAAGTGGCCCAATGATCACCATGACGACAATCATCAAGAGGATGACACGCTGGCGGCGCTGATTCTCGCCCTTTTTGAAGGCCACACGGAAGGTCTGCACCACATGCTCCTTGTCGAAGAAATCCGCCAGCAGACTCTTTTGCGGTGCGGTCTTTTCCGGTCGTGCCACGGGCTCTTCCAGAAAGAAGAAGCCATACACAAAGGCCAGCACGTAGAAGGCCGCCGAAATGGAGAATACGCCATAGAACCCGATTTGCCTGGAAAGAGAAGACGGAATTAATCGGGAGAGCTACCCAGCTGCGCCTATTTGAGCACCTACTTGAGCAGGACACCGCTAAAGGCCATGCCAATGGGCACGCCCACCGAGAAGCAGACGTTGAGTATGCCAATGCGCAGGGTGCGCTCCTCCTCGGTGGTTATATCCGCAATGTAGCTAAAGACGCCCATCAGCATGGTGAACCAGCCACCGCTGAGCGATGGAAAAATGGCCTCCGTTAGGGCGGCCGCCTCCATTGGCGCGTTCTCAAAGTAGACACAGAGCATAAGGCCGACAACGCCGAGGAACTCACCAACCACTGGTATAAGAATGCACGGCTTGCGACGGCGATGGCGATCGCTCCATGAGCCCCAGAACAGGATCAGCAGGCAGGGAAACAGCGACTGAATCACCGTCTTCCATGCGGCCATTCGAGCGACCATCTGTTGCACTGTCTCCTCCTCGCTGCAGATAGAGAATTATGGGATTCAATTATTGTCGAGAGCAAGAGAGGGAGAGAGAGAGAGAGAGATAGATAGAGAGATAGGGAGAACGGGAAGCTCACTCACAGCGTGTAGTTGGCCGTTTGGCGGCGGGTGAGCGCATCGCAGATCTCGTCTCCGTAGGCCATGTTCACACGACACGCCTTCTCCAAGTTGAGGTTCTGCGTGGCCAGATTCGAGAGCACACTGGGCATAATATACGCCGCTAGTATGGGCTCCACCGTAATGTTGTTGGCCACCAGGCGCAGCTTCTCGCGCCAGGTGCGCTTCGCCGTTGGCGTGGCTGTCTTTTCACCGCTGCCATCGGTAGCCTTCTCCTGGCCCAGCTGCGTGCCTGGCGACGTTGTAGTGTGACTGAGCGTATATTTGTTGTTGTGCTTGGTGTGGTCAATGCCGCCGCCGTCCTTGGGTGACATAATCGTATCTATTTGAATGAAGCAACAAAATATGACAAGAGAATCTATTAGAAAGCCGATATTTAAGTGACAAAACACGTTAAAGAGATTGAATATCGGTGATAAGCACGCCCAACATAAAAAGTTCACAAGCTTAAAAGGTCTGACTTGACTTTACTTTGACCTTGACTTTTCTAAAGATATACATGAAAATTCTACAAGCCTTGAGGCCATGAGTTTCTCATAGAAGAGCCTTATTTTAGAGAGGGCTGGTTGAAGCTTTTGACCACGGATCAAATTTGTTTTCAATTTAACAATGTAAAAACAATTCAGCTCTTTGATATCTTAAGCCAGATTTACTAGGCTACTGTCCACCCCTATAAGACAGAAAACAGTTCGTATTTTCTTAATTGAGACCATGAGAATCTCATAGAAAGACGACATTCAAGAGAGCGCTCGTTAATGCTTCATAATATTGATCACAAGTTTAGCTCTATGAACAATTACTTTGCTATTTAATTTCATAATCTAACTTTTAATCGCTATCCAAAGTTTGTAATCAACTGAGAACACTGTAAAATAACATGTTTTTGGCTTGTAATCAAAACCTTTTTAAAGGCAATATTTATGTATGCAATCATTAAATTTCTCTGCCATTCCACCCATACATATTTTCTATAACAGCCAATTACACGTACTCGAGACTTATAATCGTGATATTTATAAATACAAAAGTTTTTCCATTTAATAAGCATTGCTATGACCGCTAATAAAATGTATAAGTTATATATACTGTCAGCTGCAAAAAGAATCAGCTGTAGCAAAGTCCATTGAATACTAAGATCTAAAAACTGGGAGGACGGAACGACTATAAAAAGTGAACAACGGACAGTGAGACACGGTTAGATGGAGATTGGCGCGTTCAAGAAATTATAATCTATTAAAAGAATGTCGGAAATGACAGACTCTGAATACCCTCTTTGGCTGGGGTATACAAATTTCAATCAAAACCTGGTCTTTTTCCCAAATGTATAGGTATTTATTAAACCTAACTCTAACTTAAAAATTATGACTAGAATTTCAATTACAATATATTTGGTATTTTCACTAAATGTACTTCATGTAGCTATTAAAATGATTATAACTGGAACTTTAAAGTCAATACACACATACAAATATGTAATGCGTTTGGCTATGTCTTTAACAAACACACACACACACACACACACACATGCACACCCCTGCCCTATGCTATGCATACCGTAGACATTCTGAAATGCATGTATAATCTGCATTCCACAGAATCCATCAACGCAACATACATACTGTAATCGATCATTCAGTAGGTCGTGTTGTGATCGCAAGTCGTTCCGCTTCTCTAATTTTCTGCTTAACGGCATGAGTATTAATCGTGGTCGAGCGGGGGGTGTGGGGACAGGTGGGTTTGGGGTCATTCAAGCTTCAAGCTTGCCGCCAGCCCCCTGTCACACTGTCCGCTGTCACATTTTGTTGTCATTCTATTTTCGTGCGCATCTCCCACTTATTCTGATTGGATTATTTGCCAGTGACAATCGCCAGCGAAAGTATTTCGTTTGTATATCTGTTTTGGGTTCTGGTTTTTGGGGTTTGCCCCTCGTTTCGCTTTATGTTTTGCCTTTGCCCTTTTGCCGACTCTTGCTAGTCTATGAATGCTACGAGCGAGTGTCAATCAAGCGCTACGCTGACATCAACATTAACGTTAACGTCAACGGCAACGGCAACTTCGACTGCCACGGCCTGTGCCCGTGCCCGTGCCCGTGCCTGGGGCTCTGCCCCTGGCTGGCCGGCTGCTGTGGTTATCATTATCAATTATCATTATCAATTACTCTGTACTGCTTTGTTCTTTGCCTTTATCGATATAATGCTCGGCAGCTGTTTGTCAAGTTCCGATGCAGACTCGTTTATTTTGACAGGACATTTGCCCGGACTTGTAGAACACGACGCATTTTCGTCGCATTACGAGCAATCGAAAACCTAATTACATTTGTGTCACTCGAACTGTCTCGAATTGCTTATCTTGGCGCGTGTATATATATGTATATCTATTATTTTGGTATTCCCCAAATTGTTTTACCACCTGACTTTGTCTTTTATTGTCGCCATTTGACGTTCTATTTCCCTCTATCTCCATTTCTCTAACTCGCAGTTTAACAGACACTTTAGACATACTTTCAATTAGTTCAAGTACCTGGAGCTAAATGAGGCGTTTAGTCTTTATGTGACAACAACAACAACTCGCCTTTTCAGATCATAGGATAATGGCATAGCCGAGGTTTAATGTGTGCCAATTAAATTCTGATTCTAATTCAGCAGAGAGGTTTACCCAATTTTACATTTAAATTATTTGCTTTAGCTACATAAAGATTGCCCCGTCGAAACAGGTTCAATTTGTACCTCAATCTGACTTAATTCATTTATTTGTTTATATAAGACGCGATAATCTGCCTTTATAATTAATTAGGAAAACTACGAAATTAGTCATCTAAGGGCCAGCAAATATTGTTTTCTTTTCAAGTCTCGTTCCGCTCGTAATTGCTTACATATCTTTTTTATATGTATATATAGAATATTGTGATTTTTTTTGTGATAGAATGAGGAAAGGTCTTGAAGCATAAAAATAGTTTAAAGTCCCAATCAATCAATAAATAACCATCTGAATCAAATATTTGAAGTCCTGTTCCAAATCAATTCGAAACTGGTTTTAAAACAATTAAGAAAAATAAACATTGATTGGAATAATACGTAGAGCGAGATGCACAATAAACGTAATTGCCTGAGAATCACGGTACATAGTATAACAACTATCAATTATATTTGAATGGAAGAAGAATTTAAGAATTGCAGCCTCATAAACCATATGCACAATAGAATTTACAGAAATAAACTGTTTTGTTTTTTTTTTTTTTTTATACTCATATAACTTTAATAATAATGCCATGGAAACTTTATGATTATTTTTAATATTCTTAGATCTAAGCTAACATATGTCTAATGTCTATAATAAACTGAACGACGAGGATCCGGGTTCAAATCCCAGGCTATTGTATTGTCTTAGCCAAAGAGCATTGCAACAAAAAAGTTTGATTAATAGTGTAGAACCATATCTTATATTACTTATTAATAATTAAAATAATATTCTTATAGTATGCTGAAATGCGCTAACATATATGATATTATATTATATCATATTATGTCGTATCTGTCATATTAAAGCCCATTGAAATATAATACTTGGATACCGTAAATAATTAAAATAATATTCTTATATGCTGAAACACACCGATACACATGATATATGATATTATTTTATATCATATTATGCCATATCTTAAACAAAACGCATTTGAAATCCTAAGACAACAATTCGTATGTATATCATATTATGTCATATCATACCTTTGGCTACAAGGCAAATAAGAGTGCTCTAGACGAAAGTGCCCGACTAGGGGATACCCTGAACCTTCTTTTACCAACACCAAGTGTAGATCGAGCTAGGGGTGGGGTTATGAAATGAAAGGTACTTGATCTGCAGATACTATTCAAGAAGCTACATTTTAAATTCGTCGACTCTAGCTCTTAAAACCTAAGAGATGTGCTCAAAAACCCGGATTTAGTATTCGATTTTGTTTGATTGATTATCGGAAACAGGCGGAAACAGCGAGAGCTCTAGTAGGACCTACGTTCCCACTTACAAGTGTTTAGCTCTGAAGGATTCTGATGGGGTCGGGGCTGCTTTCTTCACCCTGTTACAAACATTTTCATAAAATCAGTATACCCTTTATAACCATTTTCAATGGGTTCAGGGTATAAAACCTACATTTATTTCGGCTGACTCTTATGAAAACTTGGCAACTACTTTTTGTTAGCATCCATTAAAAGTGACAGAAATTAAGCACGGCTAATTGACCTTGACAGTCACACACAAGCACACTCACACACGTATACACATGCACACAAGCACACACACTCACATACTCACAGAACTCTAGCGACCCACAAAGTGCATTGCTGGCCGTTTTAATCTTCAACTTCCGTCAACGCTGCCGCCGTCGCGTCGCTGCCGACGCCGACGCCGCTGCCTCTGTCGCTGCCGCCCAAAGACAACTCAGTTCAAGCTTGGCTTAATTATAGCGTCTGCCTGTCTATTTGGACTAGCATGCCAGCGTGTGCACGTGTGTGAGTGTGTGGCACACACACTCACGGGTCTTTTTCAGATACACACACACACACACAAGATCATTATCATGCTTTGTTCGGCTCCTAAATCGTAGTTTTTTCGCGATTTGCTCGCGAATAAAATTTCTCAATTGCCTTTAATTGCCGCTTAGTTTTTTTTTTTTTTTTTGTTTAGTTCGGCTCGCCAAACATTTTTGACAACGATTTGCATATAACTCAAATCTCTAGATCGCATTATCCAAAACGCAGAAAGTTGACGAGCCACTAGCTAGTCTGGTATTTCCGAAAAACGAAGTAAATAAATACTAAATAAAATAATACAATAATCAAACGCCCCCCTACCCCCCCCCCCCCTCCAAACCGCTTTAAAAACTGGCTTTAATTTAGCTAAAATTAAGTCGAAGCAAATGCAATTAGACTTGATTGCAGTAATACTCTCTCTTTTTATTATAAAAAAAAAAAAAAAAAACAAAAGCTGAACTTGAAATATTTTCGCGATTTTGTCAAAAACAATATCTTTGAAATTAATAACATTCATCACACCGATTACTATGCAATTTTGTAATTACTCCAGTAATTTTCAGCGCTGTTCGGTTTCACATTGTTGCACCTTATCAGATATTCTCTCTTTTGTAGGTGAGTAGTAGATAGATATAAATTAAATGCACAAATAATTTCATAGGGTGTTGATATAAGAAAAAAGCCAATCAGTTACATAATATATACACGTATGATATGCAAAAGCAAGTTTATTCACATTCGTAAAACAAAAGGGCGTAAGAATAAATTTTAGCAACAACTTGAGACAGTAAAAACCGCACAGAAAGCTAATACTTAAGAGCAAGCAAAAGTGGCGAAAAAAAAAAACAGAGAGTAAGAATGTGAAAGAGAGAGGGAGAAAAGAGATTAAGAGTGCAATTAAGCAAAAGGACTTACAGCAAATATTTTACAACACATCACTCAAAAAAAAGAGACATCTATTAAGCTTACTCCAACTAATGAAAATCGCATAGAGAGGCGATAGCAAAAATGATTTATTTCAATAAACGTCATTGCCTAGGTGTTTTAAATGTCAAATATAATTGAAAACCTTATTTTAATTTGCAATCTCTTGTCCGACTCTTCTATCAGGTAAATGCCATTCGCGTATATAAAACTCAATTGATTTGAAGTATAGAACACATTAGAAACAACATTGAAACGATCATCAAAGAGTCTTATGCTTTGGTTCGGCTCCAAAGCTGTTGACTAATTAGCATGCATTACCAGATATAAGCATATGCTTGTAGTGCTGCGGCCTACAGTTACTTCTATGGGCCTCGTAGTGCCATCAATGTCATCCAACTTTTGAGAAACGTGCGTTGAACCCCAACAACAACAAGAGTTGGGGCAAAAGCGTAAGCATTTCCATTGAGGTCATTTGCTCAATTACAGCTAGACAAACATGTCGATGCACTCTTTTGGGTCTGGGTATTGGCTGTATTGTACCAGGAAGTGTCGTGATCTGGCATATTAACTAACTGTCGCTTAGACAATTGTACTTATAGACAATGTGTCAATCGGCTAATCGAACAGACTTTCGACGAAATTTATCGCGGTTTTTTTTTTTTTTTAAATATTCTTACGATAATTTTGCATAATAAATTTGATTTACTGGATTGCGCGAGAATTTCAAATGAGCTAAAATATGTGTATTTAAATTCAGTTTTTCTCGCATCTGGCATGTTTTGCCACTTTAAATATATGGGCATTAAATATTTCGAAAGTTTCCACGGTGTATTTTGCAAGCTTCACGATGAAAGATATATAAACTTGAAGTGTGTTTTTCTCGATTGTTGGGAATTAGTTGTTTAGCCTTGAAGTTATGTTTATTAAAATTAAACATGTTTTTTTGGAAGGTTCATGAAAGTATTAATTAGCTGTAAGCTTATATAACTCTATAAATTTATATAAATTCGCAAATCTAAATGTTGAGACCTGTAGAAAGGGCAATCGATTCTGAGTCAAAATAAAAGCACAACCAAAACTTGTTTTTTTCAAAAATAGCAAAATAAACAACTTTTAGGGAAGAGCATATATAACTGTGGTCCGATTTACTAGATTACCAGATGTCTGGTTGAAGTCAAGCTTGACCGAAGTTCAAATTTATCTATCACTTTGCCTTGGGCTTACAGTCTATTACCCAATTAATCGGCATATAACATTTCTTGCGGGTTTCTAAGTATTATTTTACGATAGATGTATAGATTCTTATGCCCCGTATACCCCATTGAGTTGATGCAGGAAATTCTGAGCTCGGACAGATTAACACAATAATGTACATGCCGACGCAGTGATAAACAGTAAAAAATATATATAAATGAAAATTAACTTATTAGATTTGCCAGCGCGATGCGCTGCAGTGCGGTGTGCGGCGTTGAGTCGCGTTGCGCGGCGTTGCGCGGCGCAAGCCGGCTGCTGTGAAAACAAGCTTTGCCAGTTAATAAAACAAATTCAATTTGCGGGAAATTTGCTGGAAATTTGCCGGGCTGTCTCTAATCATATTTTTACCCATTTCCGGCTGCTGACAAAACTTTTCGCACACCCACCGAAACACACACACACACACATACACATCTACGGCGCTCTGAATTGTCCATTAAGTTATTGATTGCATGCCTATCTGTGAGATACATCGCGACGATACACAGATATAAAGGCATATTCACATATAAGGTTGGCTTAGGGGGTGTATCGGTGGGCAGGGGGTGTACGGGAGGGTGGGGTGTGTACATTGGGGGCGGCAAAGCCGTGTGCGGCATACCACACATCATATAAATTAAGCTGTGCTTTAGTTCAGCTCTAAATTGAAAATAATTAAATACAATTAGTTTGAAAAAAAGTAAAAAAAAAATAGAAAATAAAGCGACTTTAGGTTTTATTTATGCGCAATTCAATGATAAAATAAAGAGCTAAAAATAGTTACACCCACACACACACACACAGACACACACACACACACACACTTGGAGAGCTGCGTGTGTGTGTGTGACTTTGAATAGACAATGTTTTATTTATGGGGACTTAAACAGTCTAAAATTGCGGCAGTTCCAACAAACGACGTGTGCGGCGACTCCGTAAACAAAACAGAAAATGGGAACAGTTCGCTTTGATAAATTAGACACTAATTTGGCAATCAAAATAACAGGAAAGAAAAAACTTCCCCAACAAAATAAAATATAAAAAAAAAATGTAAATTAATCAAAAAGCACGCAACAAACGAAGACTAAAAAAATCAAAAATCATCACGCAAAAGTATCAAAACAAAATATCATCACACAAAAAAAAAAACAAAAAACAAAATCAACAAAAAACCAACTTAAAAATCAGCACATATATCATTAATCAAGTCAATGACAGAAAAGAGCAAAAAAAAGGTACATAAATAAATATGTAGGTAAATAAATAAAAACCAGAAACTTAAAAAAAAAAAAATATGCAAATAGCATAAATGTTATGAACGTGAACAATTTGTAGTACGTTAGTTTGTAGGATGTCGCTGGCACGCAACACACAAACAACAAAGTATGAACAACAATACAATGACACAAGCACACACACACACACACACACATGGAGAGAGTAATTGTCAGTGAGAGCGTGAGCGAAAGAGAGAGTGCGATGCACATACGAGAGCCCAAACAAATTTCACGACAAACGCGAATTTGATTTAATTTACATGTCTTTAATGAAATTAGTAGTAAAAGCCACACAGAGACACACACACACACACACACAGTCGCATGCACACACACACACACACACACACACACAACCGGTAACGGGAAACTCACTTTAGGCAAGTTATCTTTCGATTCCTTAACACACGCTTGCAGCCAGGATATGATATTTAGGCACGTTTTGTCTTTTCTATTTGTAACTGCGGCGATTTTACAGAAGCAACAACATGGCAAACGTTTGCAACTGTGTATTGTCTATTGTCTATGCTTGTTCTTGTTGTTGTTGTTTATTTTCTTTTTTTTTTTTAATACAGGGCTTGGTTAACGAGCTTTGCTTTATGCCTAAACCAGCGACGTTGAGCTGAACTCAGCGACTAAAATTTGTATTGAATTTAATGAGTGCCGTCGACTCGCCACACGGTAAACTTTGCTGGCGGCGACGTTGACGTCGACGTCAGCGTCGCTGCTGGCAGCAGCGCGTGCGGGCGGCATGCGACGCGTCGATCGCCCAGATCCCAGCTTGTGCTTGGGCGACGCCAACGCCAACGCCAACGTCGACGCCGACGCCGTCGGCTACTGCTAGTGCGACATCTGATAAGCGACAGCGATGGCTTCTGCGCTGCTGCGACAGTGTCAAAAATCCCAAAAGCAAAAGGAATTTGAAAATAAAATAAAAAGTCATATTAATGTGTATATACATGCATACACAAATGTACATATGCATATGTATATTACATAAATATATTCAACTGCAGAAAAAAGTGAGTCGTAAACTTCACATCGTCTGCAATTTCACTGACTCTCTCTTGCAAAAAGATTTTTGCCGAATTCAACAGTGTGCCCGACTTGAAAATATCCTGGAAAATGGTTTAAATAGTGTGATCCGAGTGATCCGCGATTCAATTACTTACAAGTGGGTTTAGACAAAGAATTATGCACAAAATATATAAAATATTTTGAAGAGATATAAAATGTATAGATAAGTATAAATATATACCCCAGAAGTATTGTCTTTTATATATCATTTTGATATCTGCGGCTAGATGTTGCAAGCCTGCTGCAGGTAATTAGCCTCTGAAAACAATATTTGTTTTTATCGATATCTTTATAAATCGAATTCCGTCGCAACGGTTGCTCAATTTTATAATACCCTATGTACTCAGTTTATTGACACAGCGTACGAGATACGCAGATACTTACCGGCTCTATGTACAAATAGTATGTGAACAATTGTGAATTGTTGCCTTTAGATATTAATTGTGAATACGTCAATGCTGCTATTGAAGTTTTCAATTATTTTCGCCTTGTCACTTTTGGTAACTTTTGCTTACGAACGACATTCACGTCGTTAGCACATTTTGGCTCTAATATGAACGAGGCTAAAAGCCAGCGACGGAAGTGGGGCGTTGGGGAAGGGGCAGGGATTTCAGCACTGCAATCTGAAGTGTCACGGCTGGAGCCACCTTGTTATCGAGTGGCTTAAAGCATATTGCAGCCAGTGGCTTAGCAACTAGTACAAGCCGCTATTTGATCTGGTCCCATGAGTTCCAGCCAGGCTTGATTAGCATACGATTCCGAAGAAGCAGCAAATGTAACCTACAAAATATATTCAAAAAATCATTAAATTAGCATTATTAATTAAGATTCGATCTAATCGATTGAGGGAACCCCTAAGATGTCAATCTGTGCATGTGTGTGTGTGCCCTGCGGCAATTCGTGCACAATTTTCAGGTACCTAATGCACCCGCAGCTTTTATCCCCCTCCCCGTCTCGGGCTTATCACGACCCACCTGACTGCTGGCCAATTGTTGTTGCTACTACCTCAATCAAATGTTTATTTTTATTTTTTTAATTTTTTTAAATGAGGTCTTAATTATCGCACTTGTTCTGTTGTTGTTTTGATGATGGCAGTCCACGGCCCATGTGCCACGCCCATTTGCCCCTGACTTACAAAGCCGCAGTGCCGCAAAGACCGCAGCTCTACGGTGTCCGTTGACTGATGCCAAAGCGAACAGCGTCGCTGAGCTGTAACGCTGTACACACCCCCAACCCCACCACCCACTGGCCCAGCCCCTTCGCCCTGTGCAGTCGCAGCCACAGCCGCAGCCGCAGCCGCTGTTGCAGCTGCAGCCCGCTTGATAAGTATCAATAATAATAATAATAATAATAATAATGATAATGCTTATTATGATTTTCGCAAAAAAAAAAAATGCATGTATATGCATTTGGTAATTCGATGCAAGACAAAAAGTTAATACGAATAGAAAAACAACATAATTAAGAGGTATCTAGGCAGTGTTGTACTCTAAATACCCTGTAGAGCTCTTCGATTATTATAGTTATTTTTATAATTATTATTACTTTGATTATGCACAGCTATTTCAAAAGCCTTTTGACTTATTTCAACAACAGACCGTTCTGCCGACTCTTCTTCCCAGTCTAAAGCCAGAACCACTTGAGAATTATAATTTGTTTAGCTATTTATTAGTATTTATTGCACACCCAATGCACCAGGTGGCTTATTCTTTTATGTGCAATAAAATAGGCATACCCTTCGCAAAGAGTATAATTAATGTGCATCATGTTTGGTCGCTTGGAACGCGTTGCAGTTGCTGCCGCTGCCGCTGCCGCCGCCGCTGCTGCTGCTGTTGATTAAATTCCAATTGTAATTATGCGACTAAAACAAAGACAGCAATCCAAGTCGCACCATAATCTGCCAACCAAACCCCCATCCCCCCTCCATACCTCATTGCCGCCGTCCCCCCTCTAAGCACTCAACTAGGCAGCCGTTTTGAAGCGCTTTGTTTACCCGCCTGCAGTTATTATTATTATTTTGTTTCTTCTTTTTTTTGTTCAGTATGTAAATTCACGCTGACAGTTTTGCACAGCATAATCAGTGGAAACTTTAGACCAGCAGCAGCAGCAGCAGCAACAGTTGTTGGAAACTATCAAACAGGGGGGCTGGTGGGGGACAGGGGGCCTGCATGTAGGAGCTCACATGACTCGCTCATTCGTATGTCAATAAATCAAAGTTATCAAGACAAACTTTCACTTGACAAACGCTTCCATCGCAGCTCGAGGGTACTCGTTCTTGAAGTTTCTCTCGAACAAATATCCAACAAGGCGAGGGAATTCAACTAGAAGATACCCTGTGTTGTACATAAACGTGTCTAACAAAGAGAGGTACTACGACACTTACTGTTCGAGAGCATAAAAAGTATTTGATAACCTGATAGCCACATGTATCCGTCTGCCGTATATACGAGGTTTACAGAGATATAACTGTTTAAGCAAAAAGAGTTTTTATAGCCAGGGCTGCAAATAGTTTTCGAATCGAACCGCTTGTAGCCCGGAGCATCAATTTATTACTTACTTTTAAGCGAACCTTTAAAAAGCCCAGCTGCCTGAATTGCAGCAAAGCTAAGTGCCGAACCAACGCATATTCTTTCTTAATAGCTTGGCTTAAAGCATAATTAACTTGGGCCCCAACCACTAGACTTTTCTAACAATATTTGGCAGATGCCAGTGTTGGTTAGCGATTAACTTAACTCTGAACCGAAACAAACCCCGTTTTCATAACACTTTTCTGAATACGCGGACTTGATGACAACAAAGACGGACTTGGCTTAAATTCCAGAAAAGCGCATTAATATTCTTATAAAATGTTAAACGTTAAGAATATATTCATGGCTGCAAACCAGAAAAAAGTAGTCGCTGGTTCAACTCATGGTTCGCCACAAACGCATCGCATTCTAATTTAGCACCCCCATTTTATTTCGTGCCTTGGCACATCCAATTGATTCAACTGTTTTTTCTTTTTTTTTTGTTTGGCAATAATAAACGATGACTGGTGATTCAAATATTTCAGTAATTTCATTTGTTATCTATTTGAATCCCATCTAATCGCGTTTGTATATAATTTAAAAAAATTATTATTTAAGTATTTAATTTGCTTAGCAATTTTTGCGCATATCTGTGCTTGAAGTGTTTCCGCTGTCAGGGCTGCATTTTGTCACAATCGCCAGGTGTGGATGCTATCAATGGGCCAATTGATTAATTGGACGCGCAAATTGACATCATTTCATGGCTTTTTGCATATTTTTATTATTTTTCAATAATTATTTGTCGCTGCTTATTAGCAATCAACAAGCAACAACAAAACGCAGACAAATTGGGACTTAATGGGTTGGAGATGTTACCGGCGTTAGGAATGGAGGCTTAAGCTGAGAAGGGAGTCACTGGAGTTGGCGTGTAGATGGCGATAAAGCCAAGCCCAAAGCCCAGAGGCGAATGCGCCATTAAGTACCAGCCAGGTGTCAAAACTTTGCCCATAACGTTTATAAATTAACAACCAACAACAACAATAACATTAGCAACAAGAACAATTGAATTGTGGCAAAGATTTAACAAGTCGTAACTAATTTCGACCAGTTCAATGCTGGCCAAGTTTCTGGCTGCTGCACTTGCCGTTAGTGAGAAATCACTAACTGCGTGTTTGTGGATGTCTTGGCCAAAAGCTTCGCTAAACAATGCTGTCTGGGCTCAAATAAACAAGTGGATCCAAGCGCAAGGTGCCGTATATTGGATACCCTTTCCATACAGTAATTTCATCTGGGAAAAAACATTTAATTTCCGACTTAAAATATGCATACATTTATACATTACATATATATAAATGAATATGTATAATTTATTATTATGTTTATTGACATGTATAATGTATCTTTATCTACAACTATATATACATACATATATATTTATTTATACTGCATCCACTCCAGATACACTTGAGACAGAGCTAGAACTCAAATACAGGCCTCAGTAAAGCATACTCATAGAATATCTTTTGGGCAACTTTTCAACAATCTCTGCCCTGTCCCAGACATTCATAGTGTATGGAGCCAGGTGTAGCTCGATTCGGAAGCTACTGCTAGCCAAAGCTATAAAAATGTTATGGTATTGAAAAAAATTAAACTTGCATACCCTACTGCCCACCTTCATAATTGTAAGGTATATTCGAGCAGCTGAAAGCTTCTGTCGGCCATTGGACATTGAAGGTCTGCCAAGTCATTAACAGTAATACTCACTTATTATTATACCACACAGTTTTATTTAAAGACGGGTATATATAATTGAATTCGCATCAGTTACCAAGAATGGAATATGGCAGAACACGCTCGTTTCGTTTAAACAAGCCCAACGGCACTCGTTGAATAAATGAAATTTGATTCCCAACGCTTGCTACTACCTGATTTAAGAGCATTAAATGATTCATATTTCAGAAATAAATTGAGTCTTAATCTGTATCTATATCTATATCTATATCTATATCTATATCTATATCTATATCTATATCTATATCTATATCTATATCT